TGTGAAAAGTCAACCGGCACCATTAGCACATACATTGTTTGATTTTCTTTTACTATACGGAGAATGGTCGCACTGCGCAGCTTTCTGAGTGCCTTTTAAATGGAGATAGAAAACTCCGCCATTTTGATCCCTTATTACGTGTGGCCTACATCTTGGCACAATATTTTTAATAGGTGCGTTTTAATCATCCGCTTCTGCTTCGGAATTGTTTTAATCTGACAGGTTAAAACACATACTTTGATTACTATACGGTGCAAGAGAGAGGTCCGACACGCCCAACATAGGGCGCGGCCATTTTGATTCCTATGCCACATTTTATAGCTAAAGAATCAGATCGCTCACTCTGCGTCGGCACTTTTGATCTCAATGTTCTAGTTTATACACTGCGCAACTCGGATAATACAATATATGACAACCGCCTATAATAAAACAGCATTCTTCTGCAGGCGAATTCGGATAATCAGGGGCTGGAGCGGAACAAAAGCGAAGTTTTTTAGAGTGCTTTTAAATGACATTTAAGCGTGTTAAACTGTCACTAATCGAACTAAACCGAACGCTAAAAGGGTCGTTTGGAGTAAAAAGTGTTAAAGGAGTTAAAGGAACTTGGCTGGCCGAACGCAATGTGCGTATCCTGAATTTGTATCCCTGGAGTGGATGTTATTTTGGAACTTTCAACTGGTCCGAGTGATTCTTTAGCAATAAACTGTGACTCCAAAAATAATATTCACTGACACTGACAGCAGCAAGCAAAATATCAGGTGCGTTTTAATCATCCGCTTCTGCTTCCGGAATTGTCGGTCTAGTCGTTTTAATCTGTCAGATTAAAACAAAAAAACCGACAATTCCGAAGCAGAAGCGGATAATTAAAACGCACCTATTAAAAATATTGCGCCAAAATGTAGGCAACACGTAATTATGGATCAAAATTGCGGAGTTTTCTATCTCCTTTTAAAAGGCACTCAGAAAGCTGCGCAGTGCGACCAGTCTCCGTATAGTAAAAGAAAATCAAAGTATGTGGGTTAAAACGACTAAACCGACAATTCCGGAAGCAGAAGCGGATGATTAAAACGCACCTGATATTTTGCTTGCTGCTGTCAGTGTCAGTGAATATTATTTTTGGAGTCACAGTTTATTGCTAAAGAATCAGTTAGCTCACTCGGACCAATTGAAAGTTCCAAAATAACATCCACTCCAGGGATAGAATTTCAGGATACGCAGAAGACTGCTGTTTTATTATAGGCGGTTGTCTGTCATATATTGTATTATCCGAGTTGCGCAGTGTGCCGACGCAGAGTGAGCGATCTGATTCTTTAGCTATAAACTGTGGCATATGAATCAAAATGGCCGCGCCCTATGTTGGGTGTGTCGGACCTCTCTCTTGCACCGTATAGTAATCAAAGTATGTGACCATTAAGCATTCAAACAAATGAATTGCCAGTGGGAAGGTTTGGTATATCTAAGGGTTGGGACATACGATGTATTCTAATTTTACAATACGTAAAATCATGAATAATGAATTACGTTAAAATATTTCATGTCCAACACAATAAAAATATTATTTAAAGGAACCGTTTATACTTTTTTCATAAATTGGCAGACTTGGCAACTACTTTTTCGAATAAAAATAGCATCCAAGATGCAAAACTATGTCGCTACTCCCTTAGATATACGTACATACTTTGATTTTCTTTAACTATACGGAGATTGGTCGCACTGCGCAGCTTTCTGAGTGCCTTTTAAAAGGAGATAGAAAACTTCGCCATTTTGAACCCTTATTACGTGTTGCCTACATCTTGGCGCAATATTTTTAATAGGTGTGTTTTAATCATCCGCTTCTGCTTCGGAATTCTCGGTTTTCTTGTTTTAATCTGACAGTTTAAAACGACTAAACCGACAATTCCGGAAGCAGAAGCGGATGATTAAAACGAACCTGATATTTTGCTTGCTGCTCTCAGTGTCAGTGAATATTATTTTTTAGTCACAGTTTATTGCTAAAGAATCAGTTAGCTCACTCGGACCAGTTGAAAGTTACAAAATAACATCCACTCCAGGGATACAAATTTAGGATACGCAGAAGACTGCTGTTTTATTATAGGCGGTTGTCATATATTGTATTATCCGAGTTGCGCAGTGTATAAACTGGAACATTGAGATCAAAAGTGCTGACGCAGAGTGAGCGATCTGATTCTTTAGCTATAAACTGTGTCATAGGAATCAAAATGGCCGCGCCCTATGTAAGGCGGCGTGTCGGACCTCTCTCTTGCCCCGTATAGTAATCAAAGTATGTGGATATACGAGATCATCCTACTGGCAGCTATTGTTTGACAGGTCGTTGGAATGCCTGATAGAAATACCGTCACTTTTACATTTCAAATCAAAATTTTTGAGAACGTCAAATTATAGATGATAAAAATATTAGCTTTTTACGCAATTTCAACAGGATTTAAACAGCATGTATAGCATACACTATATTTTCTACAAATCTTTTTAAACTTTCATAAGAAGCCAACAGTTTTTATTATATATAATTTGACATACTCAAAAGTCTGAATTTGAATGTAAAAGTGACAGTATTTCTAAGGTGACAGTTTACTTTTATCACGCTTTTCAGACAAGTATTAAAAGTAATTTTAAAAAACCAACTTCAGAATCGTGCTGATGTCATCATCACATCTTAACCAAAATTATATGGGACCACCCCTGAGGTACCCCCTTACTAACAAAAAAAGAAGCATATAAATCGGACAAGGTGGTAAAGAATTATCGCTAAATATACATAAATAATTAAGAGTTTGAGGATTTTCTCATGGACCCTATTTTCAGATTTTGACCAGATCACCTCTGAAGTCGGTTTAAAATTACATTTTCGCAACTTAACGACAAATTCCTACTTCTAATGAATTTGTGGAAAAACACTTTTAAAAAATATAGATTTAGTCCTCCATCTAACTGCAAAAAGTGACATGTCGTGTTTTTTGCTTGCTATTTGTAGTCGGATACAGGATAAGGGGGGTTAAACAACATGTACTAAGTTCCGGTCGTGGGAGCTGTCATGTGACCTGTAAAATAAAATATATGCTTGTAGACGTCAATAAAAATTTAAAAATCCATTTGCAAGCATTTTTTCTCGTCCGATTTTGTTACTTCCGGTGTAGGGATTTCGGTCACAAGACGGGATATTCACGAAATTTGGAAAATTGGGAATATGGTTCACACGCGTTATTTTCTGAATAAAAGATGATGTTACAAGCATTTTTTTGTGTCGGCCAAAGGGATGATATGCAAAAACAATTTTAAGCAGGCAAAGAGTGACCTGTTTTTCGAAAAGATGTAAAATCGGAACCAAAAGTCGAAAATTGCTCTCAAAATGTTTTTATTACTCTTAAATAAGAGTATTATCCCTGCATGAATTTTTTATTTAGTAGTTTTACCCCATTACACTATTTTGACATTTTTTTTTTTGAAAATCCGGGGTGAATAAAGACTGAATTACTAAATAAAAAATGTTTGCAAGGGCAATACTTTTAGTTGGGAGTCATACAAACCACGGCAAATAATAATAATAACCGTCCCTTCCCCTACACAAGTCGTTCAGTCGACTTCAGGGGTTGAAATTCACTCGTAAGGGGGTGAATTAGGGAGAGTATTATTATTATTATTATTAATTAAACCAATTTTTGACTTTTGGTTCCAATTTTACAGCTATTTCAAGGTCACCCTATCGCCGACACAAAAAATGCTTGTCATAAATATCAACTTATATTCAGAAAAAACTCGTTTAAGCTATGTCTTGAATTTCGTTGAAAAACGTAAATACGCGTTCACGTGGCGGCAATCCCTACACCGGAAGTAGCAATACCGGATGACAAAAAAATAGATTTCTTTTATTGTTATTGAGGTCTAGAAATATATAAATATATATATTAATGCCAGAAAAAACGAAAAAATATATCGATACGCAACTTTATTTTGTATTTTGCAAGTCACATACCCGCTGCCACCATCGGGACATAGTACATGTTGTTCACCCCCTTCCCTGTACCTAACTATAAATAGCAATCAAGAAACACAACGTGCCACTTTTGGCAGTCAAATCAAGGACTAATTAAGCAGGCCTGAATCAATGAACAAATACATATTCTAAACTTCTGAAGCATTTTGGGAGGTTTAGGTTGAAAGCTACAATTGCAATACTACTACAAAACCGAATTTTAAGAATTTATGGTGTTATCCACGTAGTTGCCAAATTGTCAGGGGAGTTATCTTGTTACAAAGATTTTTTTATGGTTACAAATCGAAATGTTCTCAACATTACTCAAAATTACATTGAGGAAGTATCTTTGCATTCTTAATGCAATTTTTTTTTGTCTTTTTCTGGTTGCAACTATTATTGTAGCTGAAAGTAATTTACAAGAAAACGCGAATCGTAGTTATACGAGCTGGTTAGTTCATTCATAAAACGCTTTCGCGCACAAATCATCCCCACTCAATTTAGTAGGTACCTCGCTTTTTCTAAAGTGACGTAGCCGAAGGCTCACACCTAAGCTGTTGCGAGAACGTGGATGTGTATACTAATCTCGCAGCTAGCCTCTCCGTCCTACAGCACATATTACGTTCTATACTTTACCTGCGACCACTTACACTGGTAAATATGCATGTTAATATTTGTATAACATTCTATGCATTTTGATTACTGTGCGTTTTGTTTACCGTGTAATTTACTCTCTACTATGTAGTTCGTATGTTTTGTCTGCTTTCCATAGTGGTCCATAGTGGTAAATATACATTACACAAATGTGCTTAAGAAGCAGTTTACTTAGATATGCATTTACAACAGTTATCGTAGAAAAATAAATATCTATCGTGGGTAGGCAAAGGAGTACAAGTCAAAAATTTAGAAGCTATGTCTTATAAGTCAATTTATATTGATTTTCCCCCCAAAAAAGGTATTTTTGTAATTTATGTTCAAGTTCAATAGCGACCCTAATAAAAGGTATTAACTTATCCCTCGTTTTACACTAAGTATAGATGACTGAAACTAATTTACCCAAAATTTTGACTTATACTCTTTTGCCCACACACGATAGATATATTAGTTCATATTGTAGTCATTTTTTTACAGTTTTAGGCCCGGTTCAGTGTCACAAATGTTCGAGAATCTATAAGCACAAAATAACCCTGAACAGGCATTTGAAATACGAATGTGGAAAGAATCCCCAATTTTCCTGCCACTTTTGTTCCAAAGCTTACAAACGCAAGGATGGCTTGGAACATCACTTAATAACCACTCACCATACTGGAAATGATTTGACTTGGAAAAGTGGCGATTTGTTTTTCTGGAGATGATGTAAAAAAGGGTGACACAATAAGAGAATAATTTAGAAAATTAGGATCCGATAAAGCACGTATGTTTTCAGTCTGTCTTCAAAATACATTTATGCTAAATTATTTTCTTTTAAAAGTAATAAATTTTGAATATATTGTTGTACTTGATCTCTAGTAAAAAGTGTGAAGTTAAAAAATTCCTAATTAAATGTACTCTTATAAAAATATGAAAATGAATTTATATTTTCGGTTACTTGTATCGTTTATGTTCTAACGTATTAGAAATTGACATAAAATACGTTTTTCAAAATATTTACGAATCTATAAAGTATTTTTTGACCCAAAACATTTTTGTGGCTAACCAACATAAATAAAATTATTAAAACCCGTTTTAGTAAAAATACGTTGAGAAAATCATTATAAAATGAATTCTTTTTAAGGGTGATTTTAAAGTAAACTTTAAAAAGTTTCCTTTGGTTATATCCGCCTTTAAATTGGCTCCAATTGCTTTTATAATACTGTTTCGATTTTCTACTAAGGTTGTCTTGATCCCATTATAATCTATCCCTAAAACCGTTTCCTAATTTTTCAGATACCCCAACTCACTATTGCGAGAGATGTCATAAAGTATACAAGCACAAACACAACCTAAAGAGGCATTTGACGTATGAATGTGGAAAGCAGCCTCAATTCCGATGCATGCTATGCAATCAGAGATACACGCAGAAGAGCAGTTTGCAAAATCATTTGAAACATAGACACAACTTGTCTTTGGTTAACAGTGATATTGTTTGTTCTTAATCATGAATTGCCTGAGAAGCAGGTACCTTATCAATAATCTATAATATTTATTTTTTACGAATAAATTGATTTTGTTTGTTATCGTAGTTTTTTTCAATATAATAATTGTTGGGCAGTCATCAGGTAGAAGAAGAACAACTACATAACAAGCGTAGTAAATAGCAAATTATGCACGTTTCTGGTCGTCATAATGTTAGATGTGCAATTGATTCATTTATTTCATGTATATTGTAAAAAGAATGATCATGCGGCATTATTAATACTTAAGTACAATAGCAAGGAGTTTTTTAAGCCAATGATCATTTATTTGGAGTTCTAGACTAGGTATACAAAGCGGGGTCTAGACCAATTGGATCCAATTTGGTGTTATAAGGCCATGAATCTGTGTTTTGAATTCTAGACCACGTATACGAGGCGGAAATTAGACCAGTTGGGTGTTCTGGACCAACAATATGTTTTTTGGCAGTTTTAGACCACGTATACAAGGCGGTAAGCGGGGTCTACAATTAAGAATCTGTTTTTGGGGATTTAACATCACGTGTACAGAACTACAACCCAGACACCATTTTCGGATGTTCTGGATCTCAATGATATAAACTAGTTCTATAATCGATCTAGAACCCCCAAAAACAGATTCTTAATTGGAGGCCTCACTTACCGCCGTGTATACGTGTTCTAGAACTTCCAAACCCAGATTCTTGGCCTTAAACACCCAATTGGTCTAGTCCCCGCTTTGTATACCTGGTCTAGAACTCCCAATAACGGATCATTGGCTCAAAACACTTTTTGCTATTCTATTAACATAGTATAAATATTTGCCACAGGAAGTAACTATACACATGTACAGAAGATGTTGCAACTGCGACTGCAAGTGTTGCTGCGTACATGAAACTTCAGTTGTGTAGTTATATGTCAGGGATATTATATTATGTTGGGAATGGCGTGTTAATACACTGTGACCTAAAAGATCTATTGTGTCCCCTTCTGTCGCCAATGCACCAAGCAAATGTCTTAATGCCTATAACGACCCTTCCAATCCTATTTTCTCAAGGAATTGTAGGATTTGAAGTGGCTTCAAGTTAGGTAAATCTCCCTCTTCTATTTGATATCCTCCTAGATATAGTGCCCTTCGATTCTGGAGCGCTAGACATTCAGGATGTGAATGGAGGTTTCGTCCTCCTCATCACAGAATCTGAACTCACTATCCTCTAGTCAGGGATATTAAAAAGGCGTACAAAATATTATAAATTTCTCCACTTTGTTTTGAAATGTCGCTAGTTGTAATAAAAATATATTTTTGCTACTAAAGTGAACCATATATTACAGTTTACTATTTAGACAAACTATTTTTTTCTGCTGAACGATAGATGGTACTCTCGTCATATTCAAATCCGTTCAAATTATGTACAAATGATAGATAGGCTTTGGTAGGAGGCAAGGGGTAGGTCGTATGTAGTCGACAGCGGGTGTCGGTTTACTTATTTGGTGAAGTGTTATTTAATCATTTACAAATAATTATATAATTAATACTAATAAACAAATAGTATAAATAATAATGATACTATATCGTCACGATATACAACAATTCGAGATAGCTCCAGGCCGTACAGGTTAGGTAAAGTTTTTATTTTAATTAGAATACTGGAATATTTTGTCTCGCTATTTTTGACTAATCGATAACTATAATTTGACCAGACTTTAATTTGTCTCACTTTATTGATATGAGGCGCTAACTTTTCTGTGATGTATTTGTCTCTGCGCAAATTAGTCGCAGCTAATTTGTACCGCGTGGAATTATCTCGCGCTAAAATAGAACAGGTTCTTAAATGTGAGAGATATGAAACTACACTTTGAACATTCACTGTATAGGCGTCATCGGAACAGTATTCGTTAAACGTTATTTCAATGCGTTATTTTGTCCTTGTGTCCTTTTGTTCTGCGCTATTTTGTCTTGCACTATTTTATCATCGTTATTTTCGCCTGCCCTATTTTATCCTGTGTTTTATCATGGAAACCCAGTATACAAACCTAAGATCTTAGATGGTTTCCAATATTACAAACGATAAAACGACAATAGTAAATGCACGTGAAATAAACAATAAATATTAATATGTTACTAGTAGAATAACTATAAATTGATTAACAACATTAGATGAGTTAAGTTATATAAGTAGGTAGGATATGATTGTTAATTATGTTTATTTTATAATGATAATTGTTACGTTTCTATTACATTTTATATAAAGCCTAAGAACCTATCAATTATAAACGAAACGTAGCCGATACTCTTATAAAACCCCATATAACACCTACATGGAGAATCTTTATAAAGGCAACGGTGATCGATATAAAACTTCTACTACCCAAATGTTTCGTGAATAAGAGGTTGCCGTTACCTTTATAAATCAAATATAAATCAAAACGTTTTTGTTACCATTAAAAAACTATGTATTATTATTATTATTATTAAAAATTTCGATACTAATAGTGTTTATAATCAACAAGAAAAATAGCGCTAGCGCATGAAAAACATAGCTGCCTTCGTATGTATTCGTTTTATTTCTTTCTATTTAATTTGCTCACATTATTTTCTATTTCAAGTGGTAATGTAACTTAGAACATAACTTTGTTTCTACTATCTAGAGTTGTCAGCATTGACATTTGTCAGTGTACCACGAAAAATTTATGGTATAGTTTAAAATGCTGTCCCCCCTTTAAAACACCCTTATTTGTGGCACTTTAAAACAAAATTTGAAAATTAATATTTTATGATATGATAATATTGTTTGTAATGCGATATTTTATTTTTTTAATTTTGGTACGTCTTACTAAATTGAAAACATATGGAAAACTTTTTTATTATCGGTTTGTACAAAAAAGCATTCCTATTAAAAAGTTCTGCATGGCCCAAAACTTTGAATACAGCCATCAGATATCAATTTTGTTAAGTTGTATACGAGGTTTGTCAAAAAATATGATTTTTGCTAAAGAGTACTTTCATTTTTGACAAACCTCGTATACGACTGATAAAATTTAACATCCGATGGTTGTATTTTAGATTTTAGACCATGCTCGACTTTTTATGAAGAATAACTTTTTTCCTAATATTAATAAAAAAGTTTTTCATATGTCGACATTTTGTGGCATTTTAAGTTTTGGACCATGCAGAACTTTTTATCAGGAATACATTTTTTCACAAAACCAATAATAAAAACAGTTTTCCATATAGTTCCAACTTAGTGAGACATATTGTATATGCCAAATATATAACAACAAAATGGCCGCTCGGTAAAATCGCCATATTGGCCTTTTAAAAATTATAATGTCACGTGGGCCATAAAGTAATATTAAAAAAAACTTGTACAACACTTACATATGTTTCTTATAGTACTATTGCTCTTGCAATAAAATCCAAGTTGCTTTCCTGATACATATAGTTTTACACGCTTTTGTTCTAGGTATAAAACTTATAAGTAACCAACTTAACATAATAACATAACCTCGCTTTATAGAGAGTTTTGCTTTTTTTTTTAAATGTATAGAAAGGTGCGATTTTTATAATGTCACGTGAGCCATAAAGTAACATTAAAAAAGTTGAAAACTTGTACAACACTTATACATATAGGTTTCTTATAGGACTATTGCTCTTGCAATAAAACCCAATGTGCTTTTCTGATACTTATAGTTTTATAAGATCCCTGCCAAATACTTATTTTTACACGCTTTTGTTCTCGGTATTAAACTTATAAGTAACCAATAGAAATTAGAAAACTATTAGAACGCATATGTCAAATGCCAACTTAACATAACAACATAACCTCGCTTTATAAAGAGTTTTGCTTATTTGTTTTCTTTTTTTTAAATGTATAAAAAGGTGCGATTTTTTCAGTGTGAGCCCTTTAACAGCGAAAAACGGATAATATTAATTGATTGAGTTTGATAACCTATTCTGCCTTATATTTTAAAAATATATTCGACTGTTGAACGCATGAATCTTATCTTTAGGTCTGCTCAGAATAAAATTACCGGCTCACTTAACAATTTGTTTAATTTTGAATACTGCGCAAAAACTTTAACATCACTGCAGTTATTACATTTTTTCTATGCTTATTAAAATAATATCAACTGAAGAAAATGCATCACAGCCTATATATAACGACAATAAAAAAATTCAAACATGGCGAAGGCACGCCAGAGAATCAAGTCGTTGAACGGTGTTGTTTCTTGCGGTGAGAAAAAGATTCTGTTGGACGACGCCACGATACAAGCCAAGCGGCTGGTCGCGCTGCTATAATCAACCAATCATCTGAGAGATATTGCTCACATGACAGCGTCTATTACACTAATTTGTGGTTTGTGTCGAAAAATTACGCAACGCTTTCGAGAAGTTTCTATAAGTGCTAGTGTACCAGTGGCGTACTAAATTATATGTTTTAAATTCAAATATATGTTAAAGGTTTTACAACAACAATAATAATAATTAATAATATTAATGTTTTTTAAAATTGGCAATTCATAATAAACATCCTCATTAATTATCTCATTTTCACTTTGGTGACAGTAAAATTCATTTAGCCAATATCCTTCGTCTCTATTTTCATTAGTCCTATCAAAAGTATTTTCCAACATTTTGTTTTAATGTTGAGGATCTTACTTTTGATTACCAGTTTTACTTGATTTAACACCTAATGTAAATCACATAAAAATATTGTCATGGGTTTCAACGCACTTTCTATAAAAACTGCTATATTTAGTTTTTTGCCAATTTTTATTAGTTGGTGACATTTTGCAGACAATTTATTAGAAAACAATCAAACAAGCAAACCTCAAAAACACAACCTTTTATTTTTTCTTATAGGTAGGCCTATAAGTTTTATAATATTCCTTAGGTTTTAAAGGCGTTACGGAATATTTATTGGGTGCTTTAACATTTATAATAGTTTTTACGGAGAAAGCTATAAAACCCTCAGAGTAAAAGTTTTGTAATGAGGTATCCAAGAATGTTATAAAACCTTATGGTTTTCTAATAAAGTTAAAGAACCTGCAATAAAACTTAAAGTTTCTCATAAATCCTTTATAAATATAAGTTACCTTTTAATAAAACCTTAAATGTCGCAAAATGTTAGTTGAGTGGTATATTTAAGTACCATTTTAAAATACAGGGTGTCCCATTACTGCGTAATTGCTCGATAAATCAATTTGTGTTACAGGCACAGAAACATGTTTCAAATAGAAGTTATATGGATTTAAAAAAGACATATTTTAAAAATATTTTTGGATATACAGGACGCTTTTACCTGACAAATAAAATATATATGTTTTAAATGGAACACCCTGTATTTTATTTCATTTTTAGAATGGTCTAGTAATACTGTATTTAACGCTAAAATATTTTTAAAAAATATTACAGGTTTGCCAAGCAAATAATTATTTTGTAGGTTAGCAATAATTTCAAAATTGTTTTAAATATAGACTTATCAGATACCAAGCTAACTAATAGTGGTTATGGAACTGATTCATTTTATACAGAGTATCTTGAAACATGTCTTAAATATAGCTAATTTTGAGATAATTTTACTTAATTTTTTTCAAATGGAACACCCTGTATATTATTTTAGCAAAAAATTCCCTGTAAATTTACCTATTTAACCATACCAACATGCTAACTAATAACGCATATACAGGGTGTCCCATCAGTGCGTAATTGATCGATAGCTGTTTTATTATTGAAAATACAAAAAAAAAAATAATATAAAAGTTGTATGACCATATTTAACAATTATTCTTAAATATACAGGGTGGCCCATAAAGGAGAGGCTGATCAAATCTATACGTTATTAAAGCAAAACACCCTGCAGTTAGTTATACATATTCGATTGTTTTCACATCGTCGAACAATTTTAATAAACTTCATTCATTTGCTATGTTTTAAATCGTAACCTCGCGTTTTGACACGCCCTATATACAACATAGCAAACCAATGACGTCAATTAAAATAGTTTGACGATGTGAAAATAATCAAATATGTATAACTACCTGTACGGTGTTTTGCTTTAAAAAAGTATAGGTTTGGTTTTATGAAACATATTTAAGAATAATTGTTAAATATGGTCACCACAACTTTTATATTAAAAAGTTCTTGGTATTTCTAATAATAAAACTATTATAGATCAATTACGCACGGAAAACATGTTGGTATCGTTGGATAATCAAATTTGTAAGGAATGCTAAAATAGTATAGAAGGTGTTGCATTTGAAAAAATTGAGTAAATTGAACTTAAAATTAGCCGTATTTAACACACGTTTCAAAACACCCTGTATAAAATAAACCAGTTATATCACCACTATTCGTTAGCTTAGCATCTTATAAGTCTGCATTTTTGAAATCAATGTTAACCTACCTAATTGCTTGGCAAACCTGTAATATTTTTTAAAAACATTCTAGGGTTGAATATAGTATTACCAAACCATTCCAAAAATGAAATAGAATACAGGGTGTTCAATTTAAAAAATATACATTTTTATTTGCCAGGCAAAAACGCAACACCCTGTATGTCCAAAAATATTTTTAAAATGTGTAATTTTCAAATCCACATAACTTAAATTTGAAACTTGAAAAATTGAACAATTAGGCACTAATAGGACACCCTATATGTCAAGAAATGTATGAAAAACGTTACTAAAGACTTGTATCAGTCCAATGGTTTAGTGTACAGTAAATGTAAAGATTTTCATGTCATTGTATTTATTTCTTGTTTTTAATCAAAGTAAACGTTAACTAACTACTTTTATTGGGTTGAACTCGCCCTCTCAAATGTTGGTTTCTTTGGTCTTATCGCAAAATTTACTCTATTTTTTTTTAGGTCAAATGAAATGTCCTAACTGCGACAGAATATTCAATAAAAACTGTACGTTGAATTTCCACATGAAGTACAATTGCGACGAAAGTCCTATAACTTGTCCAAAAATCAGTTGTCCCTACGTAGGACAACGGAAAAATATGAAGGATCATTTCATTTCCCAACATGGAGGATATTTAACGAAAAGATGTAATAAAATAAATTTCGACTAAGATTTCCTGGTAAATCTAGTGAAGCTATATATTTTGGAATACCTTTTTTTTATTTATTATAGAATTTTGATTTTTAGTTAGAACATTAAATAGTGCATGCATTAAAATTTTGAATTATTTTTGATAGTATTTTTGGGTTCATTTGCACTGTATGATTCCTTTATTTCTGATTAAAAATAAATTTTAGGCCCGCGATATGCGTTGACAGCGATGTTAAAACGGATGCCTTTTCCACAAAACACTTGTCCCATCTGCTTCAAGTCCTTCAACAGAAAGGATCACGTCCAAAGACACTACCTGGAATTGCATATGCAACAGACCGATTTTCAGTGCTCAAAATGCAAAAGGCAGTTCAAGAGACGCTACTTGATGGACAACCACGAGAAGAATTGCGACGGTTTGAGGTTCCACCAATGCTGGAGCTGCAAAATCGTTTATAGAACCAAAGAAAGGCTGATGTCTCATTTAAGAAAAGTCCACGATTTGCATTTGCTGGATGATTCCACGAATCGGTCTGATCGTGTATCGCTTGCAGACATGAAAGATATTAAACTGTTTCACAAGTGATTCTACAAACATTGTTCTTATCTTTTATATTGAGTATTATTTAATTTTGTTTAAGTATGTTTGGTTCGTTTGGTGCAGCTAGATACGGTGAATCAAATTATAATTTAAATAGTGAGGTCTACATTAAGTAGGTATGGTATTATTACTGTGTTTAGGTTCTGTTTTCTGTATTAAAAGTAGCATGATTAGGTTATTTTTTCTCATGAATTAAGTGCATGGTTTTAACAGGGCAGGGCAGGATTGAAACCTTGAGCAAGTCATCACATTCCAACCTATAGAGACCACTTTTTTTCTTCATAGTTGACGTAGTTTAAGATCTTCGCCCATTCATATTCACAAGGTATATGCAGCCAATTTGGCCATGCCAAGACGTTTTATTTTTTTACATCATGATGTTTGGCAGATATTGATAAGTAATTAAATGTCAACCGTATTGACCATTACAAAAATATGAGTTATATAAAAAATTGGTGCAACTGGCCATATTGCCAACCAGGTGTCAATATGGTCATACAAAATACTGTTAATGTAATGCATGTTATTCGGGAATAATTGAATTAAGAGGTCAAAATAATAACGCAAGTCCAAAAAATAAATTTATTACGACGGGTCAATACAGGGTGATTGCAAAAACAGATTTGTTATTCATAAAAATCAAATTTTCACTCACAATCTAGACATGTGAAAATTTCTACGACCTCGTTTTTGGTGAGTCCAATGCACTCATCATGGACATAATACTTGCATTTAACACATAAGTGCATATCGATTTGTCTATCCTCCCGCAGATTTTACAATACCAAGTCTCCTTTAAAATTTTACCTTGTTTTTGGCGATCTCGATATTTTCAATATTTTTTTTTGATATTTGTACATGAGTCCTTAGTTTTATTTTCTTTATTGAACAGGTTTCCTGTGAAAACTTGGGCTCTACTATTCAGTGTAGGTTTTCTGCGTTTCTTAGCTTTGGTTGGTGCTTGATCCGGAGTTGGCAGCATCTCAGTAAAAGAGTTGTTTTTATTCAAGGCAAGATCTTCTACAATTTCTTCTTCAGAATAAGATTCATCAGATTTATCGTGTTCACTGAAAAGGCTCTCTGTATCACTGCTGCTGTCATCATGGGTAGAAGTTTTGTCTCTAGTACGGATTTTCTTTTGTTATGATGTGGATGGTACTTGGAGCAAATGCAATCTCTGGAATTGCATCCCTATTTAGAGGATATATTCCTGTTGCCATGAAGCCTGCTTTAATATTTGACATGGTCATTGTTCTATCCAAAACAGCTGAAAATATGCCTCCAAAACGCATCTTACTAATAGAACGTTCTTCTGGATGCTTGGAAAAATATTTTGCAACCTCATCGTCCCAGTAGTACTCAAACGCTCTAAAGACAGCTTTATCCATTGGTTGAAGTTCGTGCGTTGTATTACTGGGCAAATAATACAACGTAATATCGAATCTGTAAGCGGTTTCCAAAATACTGAAATCCAAGTGACACTTGACTCCATTGAAAATAAGCAGAACCTGACCTTGAACCTAAAACTTTGCAAAATACTCTATCCAACGGTAAAAGGCTGCTTGTGTCATGCTATCTTTTCAGTCATAAGTATAGAAGTCCCTGCAGGCATTGAATCACCCCATCATTCTTTTTGGCGCTTTCCATTAAATAAAATTATGGGATGTATTGCTGCTCCGATAGCGTTACCACAGGCCACAATTGAAACCCGTTGTGCCCCTTTTGCAGCTAATACCTTTTGTTGATGGTGCAAACAGAGCCTGCATCCTTTCTCGTCGTTATTATAGATGTTTCATTTTATTTAAAATGGTCATCAACAATAAATTTGTTTAGTTTTTGAACTCTTGACGGGTTTAAATTTTGTGGTTTTCCAACTCGGATTGGAGGGTTTCTTTCCATAAATCCCTTTCGCCAATGTCGTCCAGCCTTTTCTTTTTCCTCTCTAAAATAATTTGGAATATTATTCAACTTGGTATACCGGTAAACAAATCAACGAAGTACACTTGCAATAAGCGTGTAACCTAATTGGGAAGAGCGAATGATTCTTCGACTAAATTCAGTTTTTTGTTCTTGAGTTAAGATTGGTTTGCGACCCATAGCTGCTTTTCCAATCTTACCTTTTCTACATAGCGCCTAAGGGTTCTTCTTGGTAGACTGAAAGTGATACTAGCCTTATTTACTGACATGCCTCCTTTCACAGCTTGAAGCGCTTGGGTTAAGTCTTCATGCTTTCATTGGCCTCTTAAGCCTCTGGAGCGAATACGACCCATCTTTATTCCTGTAACAATGGAGAAAATATTATAAAACACAGTATTTCTACAAAAATGCTATGGATAGCAATATGGCCATGGCCACAATTTTCATTTGGAAAACAGCATACACTCAGGTGGTTTGCTCAAGACTGATGACTTTAGCGGCTGGATTATTTGGCGAATATACTGTTTATACGTATTGCGCCATATACTAAATTTTAGGTAGTTGCCGAGTTATGAGGAATTGGCCATATTGCCAACGTGGCCTTATTGGCTGCATATACCTTATACATATTCAGGCTCCGAAAATATCATATTTATATAAATATATCACATGATGCATATCTGATATATTTAAAATTTAATTATTTAATTAAAAAAACAGTATTGTTTCTTGCACAAATTATATTATAAATTTTAACACAACCATATTAACAAAACCCTATATTCTAAACAACAAAACCGTTTAGTCTAACTCTAATTGAAAAGAAAAAACAAAAATAATTAATAAAATAAACAGATTTTAACATTATTTTATTAACATTAATATTTTAATTATTATATATTATTATTTGAATATACATATTATTATTATATTATTATTAATATCAGTAATGTTATTTCTATTAGTGACAATAATTTCAGAATCTTCAGATATGGCTGGTTCCTTTGCCCAGTCATGGTTGGTTTTCTTTTGGTCTATATTTTGATTCATACACTTAATACAACAAAAACAAAACAAATAGTGGCTAAGCTGGGAAACCCATAGTCGGCGCGGCGATGCTTGCGCAACAGCCGAATAAATCACCAGTTATTATACTTTTGTACAGGGGCGTATTGAGACATTTTTGGATAATAAAAATGGTGGAAACATTTTTAGTTATTAAATAAAATTATCGTGATATATATCACTTGATATATGTCCTCCAAACCCTGCATACATTATTGTACTTTCTCGCATTCTATCCAATTTGCTAGCTTATTTGAAATTTATTGACAAACGTAATGTTTGTTCTATTTTTGTGCTATTTTTTTGAATGAAAGGACAGTTAAATTTATTAAGTCCAGGCAGATTTAGAGGTAGGAGAAATGTTCTCTTTCCGTTTAACCTAGTAAAGTCAGGAAAAAGTCATAAGGTGATCCATTATTTTCATGTTTTATTTGTTCGAGCAGCAGTATGATTCTAAGTGTTATCTTGATCCAAGATGATCCTTCCTCTTGGACTTTTTCGCGAACCTTTTGTAGAACCTGAGGCAAACAAACTTAAGTGTACCATTCTGAAGTAATAGTACGTCTAGCCTCCAGTGCTACAGTGGAAATATGTCTAGTAATTCCAAAAAAGTGGCGACCATCTGTTTGTTTCAGCTTTTTTCACGAACAACTTTTGTTGAAACCGACTCATTGTCAAAGACTCAAACTGACGATTGTTGCTTTTTTCGAGATAAAATTAGTATACCTATGTTTTATCACCTGTAGTGATGTTGTACACCAAATAAGACGATCCACGCTCAAAGGGATCTAATGTAGATTTGCATCATCTCACATGCTCTTCTTTTTGAGCTAAAATCATGTTGTGTGGAATCCGCCGAGAACAAAGCTTACGGTCTTTTAAATATTTGTGTAAAATGGTGTTAATTGCTTTCACACCAATCTTGAATGTTTCTGACAGTAATGTGCCGGTTCTCTTTAATCATGTTCCGCATACGATTCATATTCTGTAACTACCATTTTTGGCGTAGGAGTTCGAAAACTATCATTTAAGAAAAGTTTTATCACGTTGAAATTCATTACGGTAGCGAAGGAACACGATTTGTCACCAAGCACTCGATTGATTTCCTCAAAACATTCTTTTCGGTTTAAGCCACGCTTGAAATTGTAAAAAAATCTTAGCCCGATAATTGTCCTTGTCCATTTCAATCACTTATTGGCGAAAGGATTGTTTTAAATTTATGTAACTTACAAAAAAATCGGGTATATTTGACAACTGTCACTAACTGACTAATCTCGTGAACAACTAGATTTAAATGTCAGACAAAATTTGTTGCCTACTAGATAAGCTCAGCAGAAAGAGAATAGCCCCAGGACAGTTGTAAGCAGTTCGAGAAATATCCTAGTTGAAATCCTGTTTTTAAAACTTATTGAA